AAAGTGAGGGTTGGGGGGTGGGCAGCAGCTTTAAAACAACGCGTTCAGCTTTCAGACAGCTTTGGGCACAGTCAGCCCCAGCCCCACATGTCTGTGCTGTTTGTCAGGCTGGGAGACGGGCAGAGCCTGGGAGGTGTGATTCCCAGCAGGGGCAGACAGACTCATGCCATTTCAGCTCCAGCTAAGGCACTGAAAAGACCAGGGACATTGTGGCACCGGCTGTGGCTCAAGCTTCCTGGGTCCATGCCTGGCCAGCCTCCTCGGTCCAAGCACAAAGAGCTAACCTGAGCCAGCACCCGCACTGCACCATCCCTGCTGCTTTTTTTTAGTGCATTAGCTCCCTCTGAGTAAGGACGACTCTGCCAACCCATGTTGGGAACAACACTGCTCTGCTATGGTGAACACAGACCCTAAAAGGGAAGGTCCCTGTTCGGTGCAGCAGAGTAGCTCTAGGAGCAGGACTGCAAGTCAGAGCCTCCCTCTAACCCTGGAACCAGGGGTTGGTGCCTGGGAAAAAGCCTTCAGAACTTTGGCCACCCAGGCCTTCTCAGAAAGAAGGGCTGGAACTTTTTTCTTTTTTCCCCTTTGGCTTCCCTAAGGCCTAGGACTCTGCTTTTAGAAGACTGCACAAGCAAGGAGACTTTTTGTTTCGATTGTTTTAGGCCTCTCTACAAGCGGGCAGAGACCCTGAACAGCACCCCCGGAGGGCTCTGCCCCAGCCTCTAAGACAGACGATGAGCCAACCATCTCCCCAAGGAAGTGCCCAGTTCAAATTCAAAACTGGTTTCAACAGGTGCACTTCAAAAGCCATCGAGTTGCATTGCACCTTCTTACCCCCAGACTTTAGACTCTGGAGGGGTTTCTCTCCAAAGTACCAGCAATATTAAGATAGGGCAGATGCTTTCATAAGCTATTTGAGCGTGTTCCTTCTGCCCCTGACTCCTAGGCTATGTCTACACTCGCGGCATCTTGCGCGAGTAATATGCAAATGAGGCTAAGTGTGGAATATCGCCGAACCTCATTCCCATACCTAATGAGCCACCATTTTTTTCAGAAGAGGCTCTTGCGCAAGAAAGAGCGTCTACACTGCCCCTTCTTGTGCAAGAAAAACCCTCTTGCGCAATGCTGTTACACCTGTTACTTTTCAGGAAGAACGGCATTGCGCAAGAGGGTTTTTCTTGCGCAAGAAGGGGCAGTGTAGATGCTCCTTCTTGCGCAAGAGCCTCTTCTGAAAAAAATGGTGGCTCATTAAGCATGCAAATGAGGCTGAGCCTCATTTGCATATTGCTCATGCAAGAAGCCGCGAGTGTAGACATAGCCCTAGAGACCAGTGATTTTGCTGCCCATTACTCTTGTGTATGGAGCGGGAGTGAGATTCCTGTTCACCTCCATTGCGATTGTCAGATCAGAACTTTCTAAAACTGCGCTCACCTGATACCTGCAAAATAAATAGCAGCATTTGTGTATATTTAGCAGGACGGGGAGGCTGGGTACGTGCTTGTCCCATCATCTCAAAGAACATAAGAACATAAAAATGGCCGTATTGGATCAGACCAAAGGTCCATCTAGCCCCGTAGCCTGTCTGCCGACAGTGGCCAGCACCAGGTGCCCCGGAGGGGGTGGACCGAAGACAATGTTCAAGCGATTTGTCTTGTGCCATCCATCTCCAGCCTCTGACAAACAAAGGCCAGGGACACCATTCCTACCCCTTGGCTAATAGCCTTTTATGGACCTAACCTCCATGAATTTATCTAGCTTCTCTTTAAACTCTGTTGTAGTTCTAGCCTTCACAGTCTCCTCTGGCAAGGAGTTCCACAGGTTGACTACACGCTGTGTGAAGAACTTTCACATATTAGTTTTAAACCTGCTACCCATTAACTTCATTTGGTGTCCTCTAGTTCTTCTATTATGGGAACTAATAAATAACTTTTCTTTATTCGCCCTCTCCACACCATCATGATTTAATATACCTCTATCATATCCCCCCTCAGCCTCCTCTTTTCTAAACTGAAAAGTCCCAGGGTATGTCTACACTACCCCCCTAGCTCGTCTACATTGGCCCCTTTTCCAGAAGGGGCATGTTAATTTCAGAGATCGTAATAGGGAAATCCGCGGGGGATTTAAATATCCCCCGCGGCATTTAAATAAAAATGTCCGCCGCTTTTTTCCGGCTTTTAGAAAAGCCGGAAAAGAGCGTCTACACTGGCCCCGATCCTCCGGAAACCAGGCACTTCAAAGTAGGAATAAGATCCTCCGGAAAAGGGCGCTTTTTCCGGAGGATCGGGGCCAGTGTTGACGCTCTTTTCCGGCTTTTCTAAAAGCCGGAAAAAAGCGGCGGACATTTTTATTTAAATGCCGCGGGGGCTATTTAAATCCCCCGCGGATTTCCCTATTACGATCTCTGAAATTAACATGCCCCTTCTGGAAAAGGGGCCAATGTAGACGAGCCCTATATGTATAGTTGGGGTTATTTTTTCCAACCTGCATTACTTTACACTTCTCCACATTAAACTTCATTTGCCATTTTATTGCCCAATCACGTAGTACTGTGAGAATACTCAAAGTTGGGTTTTGAAAAGGGCAAATGAGGAGTCACTGTTTGAATGTCCCACGTGGGGATGACCAGAGATTTTTAGATAGAAGAACGTAAAAATATCCGACTTTTATTTAAAATCCAAGTCCAATGATTAAAAAAAACCCACACCTGTTTCAAGGTAGAAGAAAGTGAACTTTTGGAGACTATGTATATTATTATTTATTATTTATATTGCAGTAGCACCCGGCGGCCCCATGAGCTCAGTGCTGTACAAACATACCAGAGAGCATCCCTGCCCATAAGAGCTTACAGTCTGCACCTCTCCCTGGTCATTCTCCCTGGTCATCCACTCACTGTCAGATAGACCAAGCATGATGCATTGTTAGCCTCTTCCCTCACTCAGCTTCCCTTCCTCCCCCAGGAGCAATTTGGGCAAAAGCTCAGAAACCTGCAGGCTTGATTCCTTCCCCAGCTCCAGAGAGAAAAGGTCAGTTGCTAAGACACAGCTGAATAGGGGTCACTGTGGGCTGGTTCAGGAAGCAGAACCACCCACCCTCTCACAACACACACTATGGCAGTGATGGAGCCTTCCCCAGAGTGACCACGTTTCTGCTTGGCCAGTTGTACGGGTTTCCCACAGGGATTATTGCATCATCTATAAGTGGGGTTTCCTGGTCTCCAACCCTCCGCTGCACCCTCCACTTTGCCCCCGGCAAACATGAGCGCGGCTAAAAGGAAGCCTTGTTCAGTGGCCTTAAGGAGGTATTTTTACATGTATTTGCTGTTTGCTTTTGAATTTCCATGCTCTGTTGGGTTGCGGTCCCACAGCCCCTGTCGGGGGGGGGCAGGGAGGCAGTAACAGGGCAACCTGATCTCACGCAGCACATGGTCAGTGGCGGCAGCATGGAACTCCAAGCCAGCAATACTCCCCTCCTGTGAAATCATGACAGGAAATGGGTGTTGCCTGAAGGCACTGGGCCCCACTGCCTCTTGGGCTATTAGACACTTATCCCCTGAGGCGATGTCCCATTTCTTCATCCTCCCCTTCCAGCTTGCTAAGCAAGCTGGGATTTCTCCTCCCACGTACAGCCAGCGCTGAGATCTATGGAGGCCAGGGCCACCAGTTCTGGGGGTTCAGAGGTAAGGGAAGATGCTGTGGAGAAGAGCAGCCCGCAGGGCCTGTGCATCCCCTTTCCAGGTGCATCTTCCTCACCCCCACGCCCACCGTCCTGTGGACTGGTCACTGTGAGGCTGGGCAAGTGGGGGAGCTAATGATGCCACACACAAGGCAGTCTCCTCCCTTCCATGCACTTTGCTGGGCAGGATCACCTGCTCCTTGTCTCCTCCTTCTGCAGGGGATGGCGGGGCCCATTGTGACCGACTTACTGGGCGGGGGTGGGGTGAAGGGGGTTGGGGTAGCAGGTTCATTTTGAAACCCCGGGGCTAGATAAGACATGGATTCCACAGGCAGAGGTCTGGGGGAGGGGGCAGGGAGGGCTGAGGGGTGCAGACCCTGGCAAAGGGGAAGATGCTCAACTGCTGTTTCTGCTCTGGGGTACAACAGCAATACTGACATTGGTTAGAGTCAGTCTCCTTCCAGTGAGCAGAGGCTACTAGGGAATGAAAGAGGGGACACCGCAATAACACACGGTTCTGAGTGAAGCTGCCCCGTGGTGGTTGGCTAGTCACTTGGTGCTGGATGGGGTAGGAGGGGATGGTTATTTGGCACCACGCTGAGGATGCAGCAGGGGTATGTGTGGATTTTTTCTGTGCCACTGAAAGAATAAATAAATAAATGCCAGCTGAGCAGAGCCTGGGCCAGGGTGCCACTACCTTCCTTCCTGCTTCACCAAGGCCAAGGCCGTGCCAAGAGCGTGGCACTGAAGGCAAGAGAATGTGAGCCACATGTGGGGGCTTAGATTTAAAAGCGTTACTGGGAACTTCCTTTAAAGAGAGGATAGAGGAGAACTGAGCAGGGCCTCCTTGTCCCCAACTCAGTATCCAGAATCTGTGGTAAGAACTTGCCAGGGAAAGGTGGTTTTCTCCAAAGATCCTCCCACCCGTGGGTCACCTCAGTGGTGAGGTCCCAGTGAGATCCACAGACGCCTGCCACCCGTACGCTCTGAGGTCACAGAATTTCCAGCCCATTTCTAGTTTGTGAAAAAAGGAGATAGACCACACGTTTCAGAGAGAGGGCTCTGGTGCCAACATTGCGATCTAGACTCTGGTCTGAACCTCAGTTTCCCCAGGCTTCCAGAGGTGTTTGGATGTGGAATTCAGAATGGCCTACTGCAAAGACCAGCTCAAGGTGGGGACACTGAAATCCAGATCCAAACTGCCCCAGAGTGTCGGGTCAGGTCTGAGTTGGGAGCCTTGATTCTAGCCTGGGTCCACCCCCACTTCCTTGAATGGAAAAGAAACAAAAACAAGGGACTAAAAGGCGCTTGAAAATATCAGGAGAGAGGTTACCCAGGAAATAAATAGTGATAAGAACAACGGCAGTACTCCTAACGTCACGGCAGCCCAGAAATTCAAGTAGTGTGCACCTCTCAAGAGCACGTCCTTCAAGCCTCTGAGGCTCAGAGGTTGGATTGAGTCCCACAGTTCACTGGTACAACCAGCTCCCTCCCTGGGGTAGGAATGGAATTGGGGGAGGAGAGAGGAAAAGTGGACACAGTCACTGCTGAGGACCATGTCTTTGCTGTACGCTCCTGGATGCCGTGCTTCAGTGAGACATAAAGACATCGAGAGTCCAGTCTGTCTGTTTGAGACCCAGCGGCCACCCCTCAGAGCTGAAAGGGATATTGTTTCAAATAGTCCCCCATTCGCCTGGGCAGGGGCAGCTGGTCCACCTCTGCTGTCGATTTATTGATCTGTAGCCGGCACAGGTGCTGTAGGCTGGGGGCACTGTCCTTGCGGCCGAGCGGCCGTATCAGATGGTGGACAGGGGCGAGGCTGGTGGGTAAGGGGCCTCGTTCTTGTTCTCCGTTGTGCAGGACGTGACGTAGTGCTGGATAAGGCTGACCACATCTGGGAAGGCCAGGATGCGGGGTTTGGACAGGCAGTTTGAGTCGAGCCGGAACTTGCTGTCAGCATATTCAATGCGCACGTTGGTGGGGCCCCGGTTGGTCTTGACAGAGAGTGTGAACAGGTAGCTGGGGTGGGTGCTGTCCCGTACCAGGAAGGTTCCCTCAGGCATCTTCTGGAGATGCTGCTTGGCCTCGCTGGCCGTGATAGATCCCCAATACCAGCCTGGAAAGGAATCCCAGAAAGAGAGTTCACTGAGAAAGCAGGCAAGCAAGCAAGAAAGAAAAAAAGTCATCCTTAGGCTGAAAACATGAGCTGCTCATAACAGATAGGCCCTGAAGTCCGTTCAGGTCAAGGCCTAGGAGAGAGGCCAGGAGCAGACTTCATGAGAAAGGCCCAGCCCAGCCTGCAGAGATGGCATAGCCCAGCCTGCAGGGTTTCCAGCCTTTGTTTTTCATCCGTGTGCTCAGGCTGGGGGAGGCTGCTGCACTGTTTGGGGCTTCGGCTATGTCTCCACAGCTTCCCTCTTCCGCAAAAGCCTATGCAAATGAAGCGTGGATTAGCATATGGCTGTGCTTCATTTGCATAATTAAGTAGGAGCCGTTTTTGCGCAAAATGGCACTGTCTACACAGCGCCTTTTTGTGCAAAAACCCCGTCTTGCTCAAGAGCCGTTTTTCCTGAAAAAATGAGGAAGAACGGCTCTTGCGCAAGAGGGGGTTTTGGCACAAAAACAGCTCCTAATTAATTATGCAAAGGAAGCACAGCAATATGCTAATCCGTGCTTCATTTGCATAGGCTTTTGCAAAAGAGGGAAGCTGTGTAGATGTAGCCTTAGAGAGAAAGAGGAGTCAGTTCCCCTTTCTGAAGAGTGAACTGTTAAAGGCAAAGCTCCTGTGTATGCCAGGTGTGGGCTACTTTGTGATACAAACACAAGCCGGCAGGTGGTGCCTAAGACTGGGACCACTCATTGCACTGATAAGTTTCTGCTGTAAAAGCGTCTGGGGCAAGATGTTTACAGCAGATCAGCCTTAGTGCCCGGCGAGCTTCCTAGGAGGAGACTCTTCTTGGAGGTAGGTGGCTCACAGACAGTGCCCTCTTGCTGGTGGATGGAGCTTACCGGATTCTCGCAGGTAGGAGAAGGTTTTTGCAATGCATAGGAGATCTTCTTCAGGATCTCGCATCCGAGGCAGGTTGTTTTCAGGAGCAGGCGCCACAAAGGCAGGAGCGGATTCTCCCTGGAAGACCGTAACGGAGCGAGGTTGCATGATCTGCTCCGACAAATTCACTGCAATGCCTCTGAGTGACTGTCTCCTGATCTTCTCCTCTGCCAGCAAAGGATGGGGTCTAAAAGGAAGGACATTTTGCATGATTTGTAGCTTGCCTTGGCTTGTGTTATCCGCTCGGCACGTGCTACATTGTGCTCCAGTGCATGTTCTATAAAGAGATCCCCGCCATGGTTAACGTTTCCAACAAAAGTAGAAAAGGGAAAAAGCAAACATCACAGAGCTAAAGATGAGCCCGTAGGGAGGGATGGGTGGAACACAAGTTCAAACACAACCTTGTAACTTCACACCAAGAGCCTGACTGATGTTCCTCCAACCTCAACCCATTCTCAACCCTGGGATATGCACTCCTCTGAGAGGTGTGTTAACTCATCTAAATCAGGGGTGGGGAACCTTCTTTGGGTTGGGGGCCATTGACCCACAGAAAAATCAATTGGAGGCTGCACACAAGTGAGAATAAAAACCAAACCCTCACTGACATGGCCCCCAACTGAAAAGGAGAAGGACACTCCCCATATTCCAGAGCCTAGGGGGGAGCCAGGATAGTAGATTTTGTGTGCTCCAGCCCCACGGTGGGACAGCAGAGGGGGATGGAGCGCCAGCATGAGCTCCCCAGTGCTGGGGAAGGGGGGAGTCCCGAGCCTCAGGGGCCTGATCCAGGTAAGTCAGGGGCCGCATCTGGCCCCCGTGCCTTAGGTTTCCCATCCCTGATCTAATATTTTCCTAGTTTTACCACAGGGTCCACAAAAGGCACTGGAGAAGTCAGTACAAACTAAACTTTCATACGGACAATGACTTGTTTATACTGCTTTATATACTATAGACTGAAGTGTAAGTACAATGTTTATATTCCAGTTGATTTATTTTGTAATTCTTTGGTAAAAATGAGAACATAAGCCATTTTCCAGTACTAGTGCGCTGTTACACTTTTGTCTTTTTATGCCCGACTTTGTAAACAAGTAGTTTTTAAGTGAGGGGAAACTTGGGGGCGCGCCAGACCCGTTAAACATTGAAAGGGGTACAGTAGTCTGGCAAGACTGAAAGCCACTGCTCTAATCTGTGAGACACTACATTTGTAATAAGTCTCTGGGGAGGAGATACAGACAGGGTGCCGGATGATATACACTAGGTCTGCTTCTGCTTCTGGTGTGAACGGCAGCACCTCCATTTACTTCAGTGAGTGACTCTCCCCCCCCCCCCCCCCCATTATCCTCCTGTCTCTGCAGATTGGCGTGATCTTGTCATGCCTGTTAAGAGCTACGCGTGGGCTGATCTTGAAATGCCACCCTCACAGAATAATCAGCCAGCGCTGGCATTACACAGGCCCTGGCATTCACATGGTATGAAGGAAGCTCAATGTAAGCCCAGCCACCCAGCATGTTTATAAGGATAGAAGGGTTCCAACAGGGTAGTGCCGGGGGGTGAGCCTTGTTCGGCATGGTTACAAATCTTCCACGAGAGCAGTATTTTGTAGCCTTCTTGCAACTAGCATGTGTCCTGTTGCCTGTGGTCTGCAGCGAGTCCTACTCAGTACAATGGGGAATGACAGGGGAAAGTGGAGGGGATACAGGATGATGGGGGCGTGATGTGGAGCTCTCAGTACCAGTCAGGCGTCTGAGTCTGAGGAATTAGCCCACAGTTTTCACTGCAAGGGGGAACGTACAAAGCCATGTGCTGTGCAGTAGAGGCTGAAAATACGCAGCACGTGTTTCAATGGTCTAGGGGAGCGGCACCGCTCCTGCATGTGAGAATCCCACAGATCTGGCCAAGTGAAATGCAAAATTAAAGGAAAGACAAATAAAAGGAGAGCAGCTGATGGGAGGGTTGGATTGGGCCTGGCTCAGGCCTTCAGGCTTCTGGCATTCTTCAGTCTCGCTCAAACCTGTGCTGCAGCACATCTCAAAGGTTTAACCCTCGGGGAACTGGCATCAGCATGGCCTCTCAAGAGTCAAAAAATATAAAGTAAATGTATTCCCAGGGAAATGCAATACAATCCTCAACTTGAGACCTGCGGGGTGCCTGGAACTAATGGAGATTAAAAAGGCAGCTGCAGATTTCTCCCACCCACGTCATAGGAAAAAGGGGGGGAGAGAGGACGGACGTCCCTGGCATTTCTCCTCCAAACTTACCAACTTTGTCCGCTGTATATACAGTGACATTTAACAGGCACATAAACTTGGGTGAGGCAAGGGCTAAGGGGACAGACTGATCTTCCCGACTCTACCCTGGCTTGGCCCACTCTTCTCCCCAGCCCTCTCATCCTGCTGAGACCCATATGTGGGACAAAGACTCAAAAGGAGGGATATATGAAGAACAATAGTGACGAGGGGTTGAAAATAATGAGCGAGCTTCTCCTTTAAGAGTGAGCGAGCACAGCATTCCCTGGATCTACATTTAGAATGTAGCTCTGCCAATTTGGAATAAAGAGAGGGCCTTTTATGGGGCCACAGTCTTCTCAAGCAATGAAAGGCAGTCGGTGAGAGTACACTGACCCCACAAAATCAAAGGCTCTCCAGACTTTCTGAAGAGACTGCTGTGAGTTTGCATCAGTCATATACAACCCTCGTCTTCCTCGGCCAATCTTTACTTTACGATGTGATTTGCAGAGATTTTGTTTCCCGCTCACCGATTTCTATCTATTTCTATAAGAAAGACCTTACCTGCTAAATCTCCGTGCCAGCCCTTAGTTCTCACAATAGGCTCTGATACCTAGTGTACAAAGCATTTCTTTGTGGCTCCTGCAGGTAATAGCTCTGGATGAGATTCCCTTTCCAAGGGTAGTACTGTTGGGAAGGGAGCCCAGACACTTTCTCTCAGCAAAGGCTTGCCTGGGTTATGTTCAGTAGCTTTTGGGCACTGCCTGTGTTCCTTTGAAAAGAAGTAGTATAGGCTTGATCTGCCACTCTCTTGCACCTTGTGCAATCCTTCTGTAAATTAGGTGTCAAATGCTGCCCTCAGAGGAGGATTTGGTGTTGGTAGCTTTTGACACCAGCAGTTTGCATTGCACAGGTATAAATGACTGCACCAGGTGAAGGGGAGAAGGAGATGGGCTCCAGTCCCATCTCGAGAACAATTATCCTGCAACTTGGATTCCAAAATGGAGCTTGCTTCCTCCTGGAAATGTTTCTCCTACGCCCTGACGCAAAGTCTCATGTTTAAATAAATGTTTTCTTGTTGCTAGCATGAGAACTATTAAGACACTTGATTTGGGAAGGAGATTAAGAGGGGAGACTGGGAAGCAGTTTTGAATGGACTCTTTAGGCAATTCCTAGGTACCTTAACTAGTCAGTCAGGATATGTCTAGACTACAGGCTTTTGTCGACAGATACTGTCGACAAAGCTTCTGTCAACAAAGAGCATCTAGACGACATCCAGTTCTGTCGACAAAGCAAGCCGCTCTGTCGACATGAGAGTGTAGATGCAAAGGACAGTGGAGATGCAATAACGCCTTCTGTCGACAGAACTCTGTCGACAAAAGGCGTTATTCCTCGTAGAATGAGGTTTACTGCCGTCGACAAAACTGCCGAGTTCTGTCGACGTTATGTCAACAGTACTCGGCGGTAGTGTAGACACAGGTATAGTTTTGTTGACAAAAGTCCACTTTTATTGACACCCTCAGTTACTAGAAAGTTCTGCTCCTGCTTCTGTATCTTCTATTGTCTCATGGAATGCTGGGCCTGAACCTCCAGGCCTCCACTTGAAGCCACCTTGGGAAGCTATTCCCCTTGCATTAAAGGAAACTTCAAACCAATTCACATTTCACTTCAGAAATGCAGAAAGGACTCAAGTTTTTAAACTCTATGTACAACTCCCTTTCCGAAGCCACAAGGGCTCTGGTGAAGTAGAGCCAGTGTGGATTGGAAAGATGAGTTCACCTCCAGTGGTTCTCTGCTGGCTCTCATATGCTGCCTGACTATCCAGCCCCCTGAAACCTGTAGAGCCCAACCCCTGTGTATTTCTAGTGGGGGGCTGTTCCACAAAACCCAGAGGAGGGTCACAGGCGATGCTGCATGGATTTTGCTCTCCTCCCACCCGTATCAAAAAGCCTGGTGCTGACACAACCTCTAGTGAGCACAGTGCAATGAAAAGAAGTTTTAAAACCCATGATGGCCGGAACAAGGACCCATTAATGGACGCTAATTAATGATGATTCAAAAGTTGCTGAGCTACTAAGCAAGACAAATAAAGAAAAATGACCTAGGGTAAGGAATGAACCATACACGTTGTCACTGTAGCTGCTGTTATGAACCAGATAAAGAACTATGGGGAAGAAAGTGTAGTTGATACATTTTTTGTCCCCAAAGAAGCAGCAAACAAACTTTCTGTGATGCATCAAGGAAAGCCCTGGAGAATTATGAAGTTACAAGAGCGCAGACATAGATGGTATCGATTAGCGTGAACTTTGTTATTGCCTCTGTGATAAGTCAAACTTAATAACAACACACAGTGAAATAGTATAGGGAGAAGTGTCTATTCCTACACTCATATCGGCAAACTCACATCAACTCCTGCAGGGCTTTTGCATGAGTAAGAAGGGAAGGGTTAGGTCCAAAATGCTTCAAATCCTAGAGGACAATGTAACTAGAAGCAATAAACAAGCAGAGGGCTATAAAACAGTGGACAAACTCTCTCCATTTGAATGAATGACAGGTTATTAGAGGATGATGGCTAGGCTGTAGATATGATATATTTGCACTTCAGTAAAGCATACGATAAAGCCTGACCTGAAAAATTAATGTCAAGCAGCTTGGCTTTGGGCACTGTTATATGGGCTGATAACACCAATGAAATCAAACAAAGGAACACTTAATCCGAGCAACAGGAAAATATTTGTAATAGTGATCTTAATGAGAGGTTGGAATTGGTTCTCAGGGGAAGTGGTGGAAATCCCCACACTTAGTCACTTAACAGTTAGACAGGACAGAAGAGTCATACTATGGGGAAAATCATCTAGTGGCAGACAGGATGGATAAAATGACATTATGGCTGGACATTAATGAATGTTGAAGCTTGCAGATATTTCCAAGGGCACAGGTGCCTGATATATTCCTGCAGAACAGGTACATACCCATGCAGATTAGCCGTGTCCTGCCTAACTAGCCATGTGGGCATGCAAATGCCAATATGCATGCATCAGCCCCAGGGTACTCATACAAAAAAAAAGGCCTGCACAAGTATTTATTTTCACCTTATTGGGTATCTGGGATACGAGGGTTTTCCCCATCTTTAATTTCTATTAGGCACTGTGTAAATATACATGTACATGTACACATGCCTAATCTTGTAGAGAAAAGCTATGAAAGAAAAAGCATGCATTCCTTCTAGATATTCATCTGGAATCAGACAATTTCTAAAAACAAATTATTGAAAACCTTTTCTCTATAAGCAGTTTGTTTTTATGGAGAAATTGGAGAGCTCCCAGTATTCTGTGCTTCAGTCTTCTGCAGTTTTACATATGAAATATTGTCCAGCACAGTCATAATTTCCCCCTAGCTGATTTTTACCGGGTAAGTATTGTGAGTACCTTGAGATTTCTCATCTATAGAAAGAGCATGAATATCAGGGATCCTATCTTGTTCAAGCCTTTTTGGACAAAATATATAAAAAAACCAGAAACCCAAGACACTCACATGTACAGGGGGGCAGATACTCAACTGGTTCAAATCATCATAGTCCCATTAACTTGAATGGACCTACATCAGTTTATATCAGCTGAGGATCTGTCCCACAGTCAATTACTGACAATTCTCAAATTAAGCATTTAAAATGAAAGCCATAATGAATCTTACCCCTGAACACAGAGGATCATGTCACTCCAAGACCAAGGAAAAAGCATTAAGTCTTCAAAAGGATGGGAAAATGATCTTCCCCTTTTTCTTGTCTCCTTCTCCTTTGTTGCCCAGAAGGAGGTAGGACAAGTCTTAGGAATTCACAGGAAGAAAAGATTGGACTGCTCTCAACAAACCTCTTCCACAGCACACGCCCGGAGAAGCCAAGCAGAAAGCAAATCAGACTGCCCAGAAAGAAGCTTTACGGATTTTTCAGCAACTTTAGCTAGGAAAATGTGCACTGTCTTGGTGCTTTTGAAGATGATAAAATATATTCTTGCTCTGATTCAAAAGAAAAAAAATAAAATAACCAGAGAAAAGGAAAAAATGGTTTTTAAAGAAGGAACGAATTCTCCTTCAGAACAACCTTTCAAGTCAGGGTTTGAACCTCTGAAATAACAATAAATAGGTATCAATAAATAATCTCTCCCTGAATGTAGAGCTGGGAGAGCAGCAACCTGCTTGGACACTGGCTCCAGAAGTAATGAAGCTCTGGGAAAAAAAACACAGCTAAGTAATCTTTTGTTTGCCCCTTTTAATCTGTTCCAGGAAGTGACGGATTCCTGGAATTGTATTGTATTCGCATCACTGTTCTGACATTAAAAAACAAAAAGTATAAATAGATGTGTCCATAATGGACGTCTTGATGTCAGCACAGCACTCCAGAGAATTGGGGGGCAAAAAAGCCTCCAAAAGATACCAAAATCCCCAAGGAAAAAAGCAAGGTCAGATCAACTCGGTCATCTCCTTCCAGGGACCCAGCTGAAAAGTTGTAAGTTGTTTTCTGTTTTATAAAGCACTTGGCTGCCGTTCCCTATGTGTTCAAAGAAATACCTTTGATAGATTTCCAAGAACTTTCCAGGAAAGCTGGGCTGGACCACAAAGCTCTGCCAATCAGGGCAAACCCAGGCTGGGCTGGACCTCAGAGCTCTGCCAATCAGAGGCACCCGAGGCTGGGCTGACGCTAGAAGCTGCAATGAGCCCAGCCCCACAGTCACAGAGAAACAAGCAGCAGCAGCAGAAAGGAGGGAGGGAAAAGCAGGCAGCAGCTGCAATCACAGGAGGCCTTTTAACCATGTGGCTAGGAAAAAGAGATGAGAGACCTCCCTGACAATTCCCAGATGGCCGTGTGAAACCGGAGAGCAGCGGTAATGCACCCCCTATAAAAATCAGCCTTGATATATATCACAAGGCTGGGATCAAAGATTTCCCCCTCCTCTAGCTTTAACTTGAAGCATCAAATTTGCCAATTCCCCCCAGCTTTCTCATAGAAAAAAATGATCTTTCCTTGTCCTCATCAGCCCTGCCGTGTCTTGCCAGACAGGCTGAGATTTCAGTGCTGATGTGATCCATGGTTTCTAAGTGGATTTGGGAACGCGAAAGGGGCTGAGTTGAGAGCTCCAGAGAGAATTCACCTTTAATTCCCAGAACAAGTACAACAGCAGGGGCAACAGCTGAGCAAAGGCCTTCCAAGGAACATGGAAGTTAGGACCAGAAAGAACTTCCTGGGTCATTGAGTCTAGTCCCTCGTTCATAAATATACCAGACTCCCTCTTCGGACTAATTAGGTTGTTTGCCCCCACTCCTCCGACTGGGATGCTGTTCCAGAACCTCACTCCTCTGATGGTTAGAAACTTTTTCTTAATTTCCAGCCTAGATTTATTAATGGATAAATGAAGAAATTCCAAACCCCGGAGGCCAGTGTATCTCAGGATAAGACATGGGCAAGTCGAGCTTCCAAGCAGTGGTCCCCAAACTTTTTACCTTGCACCCCCTCCCCTTACTCCCATCCGTGTCCTTCCACTGAGCTGGGGCTAGGAGCAGGGCTGCAGTAGCTCAGGGTGAGAAGGATGCACCTCGGGGTAATGGATCGCCCATCCTCTGTGGGGGCTAGCCTGGGCCCAAGCCATGCCCACCTGGATGTTCCTCCATGCCCTCCCTAGAGTCAAGGCCCCACAGTTTGGAGAATTCTGGCCTAGAGAAATGGAATCCTGGGAACTTCCAGTGGCATTGTCTACAGCAGTGGCAATGTGGAGTCTCTGACAGTCTGCAGAACAGCTAAACAGGGCTACGTCTACACTGGCGCGATCTTGCGGCAGAAGTATGCAAATGAGGCTCGGCGATATTCCACGCTTAGCCTCATTTGCATATCTAATGAGCCACCATTTTTGCGGAAGAGGCTCTTGCGCCAGAAGGAGCTGTCTACACTACTCCTTCGTGCACAAGAAAAGCCCTCTTGCGCAATGCTGTTATTCCTGAAAATAATCAGCGTAATGGCATTGCGCAAGAGGGTTTTTCTTGTGCACGAAGGAGTAGTGTAGACAGCTCCTTCTGGCGCAAGAGCCTCTTCCGCAAAAATGGCGGCTCATTAAATATGCAAATGAGGCTCGGCGATATTCCACGCTTAGCCTCATTTGCATATCTAATGAGCCACCATTTTTGCGGAAGAGGCTCTTGCGCCAGAAGGAGCTGTCTACACTACTCCTTCGTGCACAAGAAAAGCCCTCTTGCGCAATGCTGTTATTCCTGAAAATAATCAGCGTAATGGCATTGCGCAAGAGGGTTTTTCTTGTGCACGAAGGAGTAGTGTAGACAGCTCCTTCTGGCGCAAGAGCCTCTTCCGCAAAAATGGCGGCTCATTAAATATGCAAATGAGGCTCGGCGATATTCCACGCTTAGCCTCACTTGCATACTTCTGGTGCAAGATTGCGTCGGTGTAGACCTAGCCTCGGAGTTTGGCTATGTGGAGCAGCCAAATGCCCTTGTAAGTCTTTGAAGGTCACCCTAACTTTTGGCTGAAGTTTATAAAACCATGTTTTCCCCTCCCTTGCTCCCTTTTAACATTGCTGTGTGGCCTCAGGCGGAGAAAAGAGAACAGAGTAGGTACTTCTCAAGCTGCCAAAAATGTCTCTTGTGTCTTCCCAACTTTCCAGAAATATTCTTCCCCTGTGCTCTCCTGTCCTGGTGTTTCCACTGAAAAAGCTGGTTAGCCTAGGCAGAAGAAATGTCAGCATAGGCAAGGACTAAGGCTATGTCTATACTGCATTCTTTTTCCAGAAAAAGATACGCAAATTGTGAACTGCAATTTGTGTACCTTTTTCTGCTTTTTTTTTTTTTTTTTTTCAGAAAAGGCTTTTCTGACATTTAGCCTGAAGATACGGGGCCAAATGTGGGAAAAACCTTATTTTTTGGAAGAGCCCTTATTCCTCATAAAATGCTATGGGAATAAAATGAGGAATACAGGGCTTCTGAAAGAACACGCCTTCTTTTTCAGAAACTGTTCTGAAAAAGCAGATGCGTTCCCTGAATGCAGGAGAGTTTTATCCCGGAAAAACTCTGTAGTGTAGACATAGCCTAAGGGAGGCAACAGGAAATTTGCCCCTTCAGTTCTAAATCTTTCTATGCCCCATCAAGAATATGCTTAGAAGATTTTCAAAGGGCTCATCTTAGCTCCTTCACCCCTGTATTTAGAATGATTTAAAATACCATT